AGAACTGCGTGAAGGCGTCGAGGTGATTAATGGTATTATTCCGAGTGGTTCATTTCCGAACTTTGGTGATTGTAAGTATTTCATTTTTAATCTAATAGAACCCATTGATTTTTTCGAAGAATCCTATGGAACAGTAATCCTGTTATAATGTAATACTGTAATTTTCTGGAACATAACATTAGCATACTGGTTGATTCTTTTATCATTGAACACTCCTTATTTCAAAAAGTATCAATGTTTTTGATAATATTTTTTCACAAAGTATCATGTTGTTAAAAAACAACGTTTTTATTAAAAAATTATGTTTTTTAATATTTTTTATCCTTATAATTTTTTAAGTTTTTTACTTTTTTGAATGACAACCTAGAGTTTTAATTTCATATTCCAATGCAGTATATTTTTCTAAGTATTTTGATACGTAAAAATCGAATTTTGGACGAGTAGTTTATGAGTTGTAAGTATTTTAAGTTTTGACATTCAGAGTAGTGGACAAACATTTTGCGGGGTAATCCCGTACCACTCCACTCCGCCAATCTAAATCAATTGTCAAATTCTTCTCTTAATACTGGATATTCTACATATTCTTCATCTTGCTCATTGTCGTTTATCTTTTCTAAGTCTGTAACAAACTGTTCTTCTTCTTTGTATAGTGCTTCTATGTATTCTTTCCATCTATCTACAACCTGTTTCTGTTCATAAATTATCTCTYCTTCTTTATTTTCTATTGCTCCACTTTTGGGTGTACGTACTCCGAAGAACCTTTTTACTGTTTTATATGCTTCCTCTATCTTGCCCATTCACATCAAAATGTCTATTTCCTCGCACTTTCCTTCTAGATATTTTTATTTTGCTGCTTTTGATTTTCTTATGATCAAAATTCTTAAAGTCCTGTATCTCTTTTGATATTCATCAGTGTTTAAATGTTTATACTTTCTTTTCTCTTCTATCATTTCAATAATCTCTGGTGTTATCCATTCTTTCCTCGGTAATGTGCTTTTTGTTTCTATCATTATCTCAGATGCTGCTGATTTTATACGATTTTCTAAAGGGCGTTTAGCTGTTGCCGGGTGAATACAGCGGCAGACTACCAATGCACAATGCGATTGCCGTCTCCATGATATTTGTAGTGGGCTCACCAAACTCGCAAGTATGTTAGGTCGGGGTACTTTCTACGATGTGTGTATGATTCAAAACGATCGGTAAAAGGGTTGATTTTATATGAATTAAGTATACATTAGACTCACATGGTTAAGTATATATTAGACTCACCCGGTTAAATATATTAGACTCACCTGCATTTGTAGTTGTTTCTCTCAAGGAAGTCCACCTGGTGTTAATGTCCTGTTCTTCTTGTGTTTATAGTTATTGACAAATCAAAAACAGTATATGAATGCAATCAGACAATTATACCAAAATATAATGTCTTGTTCATTCCACGTCCATTTTGTGAGGAAAAATTTATTTATGAAATGGGTTTGATCTTCCATATTAGCTATTCATGACTTATTTAGATAATCCGACACTTAAATTTTACTTTACAAATTTTTTTGTAATATTAACAATACAAAATGGTATTCACTTATTTTTAATAGAATGTAATAAAGATCATTGGTTCGGCAATGTTCAACTTTCCAATCAACACCGTAATAACCTCAACTAGTTTATTTTATTTTATAAAAAGTTATGGTTCAAAGATTAAAAACGTTGATGCATTAAATATGGTATTAATACAAAATTGTGATGCAATTCAATATTTTGTCAATAAAAAACTTAATGTATGAAACAATTATTATAATATATTTACAATCACACAAATAAAAATTACACAATATTTATTGACAGATACTTACAAGATACACTAATATTGGAAATGTTTTAAAATATATACAAGACAAGGAGCTCGAACACAGTATTGCAACCTCAGATCCTTACACAATAAAAAAAAAACAACAGATTACATACTTTTTAAATTTGACAAAAAATAGGAAAAAAAAATTAGCAGTTCTTAAAAAACAAACGATAGATATTCTAAATAGTGAAACAGTAAAACATTTTTCAAAATTCTTAATTATACAAAAACTCCCCATTCAAAAACATTTAACCATATTATCCATAGACACGATACATTTTATTAATAACAGCCATTCTCCACAAGTCAACCAACCCAACCCATTCGCCACATCAGAAACATTTCAAAAAAATCTTAATTATGTAAATAATATACAAGATATCGATTTTATGTTATCGGATATTATATTATATTATAACTCACCTCATATGATCTATAGGTAAGTGAAATTGCGTAAAATATCGCTTATATAATGACTACAATTTGAGCAAACTAATCATATTGCATCACATTTTTCAGTGGCCAAGTCTGTGAAGCCGAAATATTGGAAGCCCTATACATAAAAAAAAAAAGAGTTAATAAAATTATTTATAATTGTTAATTATATCGACACCTTCTGCCAACAAACAAACGGATTTGTTGATTCCGACGGCAGAGGTATTCTTAACAATACATCGATCATAACAGCTAATAATATATATTCAGTCGACAAAGAATTTAAATCTTTTGTAAATACATTAGATAAATGGATTACGCAACCTTTCATTAACATGGACTATAAACAACCACAGTAATTTAAAAAAACAATATTCTATCTCTAAAATAATTAATTCTTCTTTAAACATATTATAATTTTATATTAATTTATAAAAAAACAGATTGCCAACAACACTTGCGGATATTACTATTGTTATTGATAATGATTATACATATAGTTCAATTTTTCGTACCGAGTATAGTTGATTTGGATTGGAACAAAAAATTGGTTTTGGCGTCCATTTATGTTTATTATAAAAATGCATCAATGAAAGATAAACACACAGTATGTTATAATGTTTAGAAATGTACTTACTATATAATTATTTAAAGTGTATTAATGAAATTCAATTATTTTTCCTTATAGTTGTCCAATATATATAATCACATAGCATTAGTTATGTGTATAATAAGACGGCAATTTATAAACAAATC